GAGAGAGAGAGAGAGAGAGAGAGAGAGAGAGAGAGAGAGAGAGAGAGAGAGAGAGAGAGAGAGAGAGAGAGAGAGAGAGAGAGAGTTGTTTGGATTAGAGAAGAACATCAAGGTAGCGGTGGTTCCATATGCTGTTTGTAGATTATGATTTCCCGTTTGCTATTAATAGATTACGATTCTCCTTTTCCTGAGGCGTTGGCAGGCGCACGTGAATTTTCAGCAATGGGCATCGAAGTGGAGCGCGTTGTGCACGACAGAGCATTGCTGGACATTGTGGAGCTTGTGTGCCCAATATGCGAGAATCTGTTGTCTCATGAAGATACTGTGGAGACCCCTTGTGGCCATCTGTTCTGCAGTTCGTGTGTGGCGCCCTTCGTCAGATCTCATTCGGAATGCCCTCAGGACCGCAGTCTGGTGCGAATGACAGACCTTAAGCCTGTAAAAGAGTCGAATGCGTACATATATCGCTTGTTGGGCCGATCGCTTGTGCGCTGTGCTAGACACGGTGATGGATGCAAGTGGATTGGAGAGCTCTCTGAAGCAGCTTCACATTCATCACAGTGTTGCATCACGACAGGGCAGCGGTTGGCCATGCCGGGCAGCAGCAGCAGCAGAGAATCGCCGGTCTCTCTCCTCTCTCATCGGGGGAAGGAAAGGGGTGAGGATATTTGCTCCAGCTGTGATGAGAAGAACTTTGAGATTGGGATGCTGCGGTCCGAGGTGGACCAGAAGATAATGGAGAATGGCGAGTTGATGCTGAAGCTCTCCGAAAGTTTGAAGGAGAATGAGGAGAACTGCAAGCACAGGTTGGAAATGCGGCAGCAAATAGAGAAACTTAAACGGGCATGTAGTTGCAGTAGTCAACAAATGGACGCGAAGGTAGCCGATGGGTGGAAAGCTGTGGTGTCCCTGAACACCATGGCGATGAATGAGAAGGAACATGAAATCTCACAGCTCCAGCAGAAGCTGAAAACACTTAGAGACCGATTGTCGGACCTCGAGAAAACACGTCAGGGTATGCTGGCTCCTGCTGCTTTTAGGGCTCCTGCTTCTGCTCCTCCTCCTGCTGCTCCTCCTGCTCCTCCTGCTCCTTCTGCTGCTCCTGCTCCTGCTGCTCCTGCTTCTGTCCCATCGCCTGTAGAGTTGAGGATGTCATCACCACCGCTCAGTCACAATAGCACAGAAAACTACTGTCACGTGCGGCAAATGCAGCTGGAGAACAGCGTTAACGATTTCCAGCGCACACTGGACAATCTCATGTGTCATGTGAGCAATCAATTGTCAACGGTAGATGCGTCTGCACAGGGCCAACATCTCGGCAAAGGGGATCTCTCAGCAACCTCTGCTCTTGAGCATGTGGCCGGTGTCCTCCGCGCCAATGCTTTGAAGAGACCGCCTGGCACTCTAGTGCAAGACTTGTTTCTTTGCATGCAAAGGCATCATGACGGTGGTTTGTTTAGGAGGAAGGGTATCATATCTCTAGATCTGTTCCGGCGACATCGTAGGGGTTGGGCCACGCTCCTTGCAGCAGCAAAGGACTGCGGATCCATCTGGTTTACGCCGAAACAAATCAGCCGGATAAAGCAGTGGTATTCCGAGATTGAACCAGTGGGAGCATCAGCCTCTGCGATAGGAAGAGCATGAAGTGGAGGGCACTGCAGAAAGGTCCTCGCTTGGGTAGGACCTTAAGGAGGGGAAGAAGGAAGGATTTTCACGAGCTTTTCTGAGAAGATCTTGGGAGGGCGCTATTTGGGGCTGAATCGTCCTGCTTGCGGCATGCAAGGATTGTTGTTGACCGATCTCGTCCGCAATGAAGAAACAGAGAATCAGGATCAAGTAAGTGGTGGTTTTTGTTACGACTGGACTGTTCAAACTATGCACATCTTCGACACTGCAAATTCATGAATGAGAGGCCAGTTGCTTGGCGGGCATGACAGGAGGGAGGGGAGCTTATCGCCGAAGGACTGAGGAGGTGTTCTGAGTAGTTCCTTGGACATTGATGGTTTTCTCACCCCTCTTCCTTGTTGCATGGAACAAGCGTCTGCCTGTTTGACTTCATACCTGGAGTTGCAGGTAGGGAAGACCTGTCAGGCCAACTCCATTGTGCAATTATATATATTATATAGACTATAGTATTATATCAGTCTGCACTCTGGAGTCGTTTTGCGCTGAATGCAGTAAAAAAAGCACGCCCAATGGATAAAGTGGTGGTGGTATGTGCAATGGAGCAACATATTTGTGTCCGCAGAGTCTGCCTTGCGGACCCAATGAGTTGTGAATGGATTGTCAGACCTGAGGCCAAGGTACAGTGCTGCAAGCAACATGCCGTCACCACACTTCTGTGAGAAGGTGCTGTGACGACCACTGTCATCCAGCACAGTCTATGATGGAAACAGCCAAGGTTTCCTAGTCGAGACACTTGGCGTAACATCATAACAAAACAATTTAGCCACCACAGTCTCATCCAGATCGCCGCCCTCGTCTTTCAGTGCTTTGGTCAGCCGCTTTGCTTTATATTTTGCTCCCCCTTTTCTTTGGCCTTTGTTTCGTGTTGTATGACTTTTTTTTGGGCCGTCGATAATCTGTCCACATGCCTTTGGGACAGATCGCACTCGATTGTAGACCCTCTCGCCAGCGCTTGCCCGGCCAGTGGCCAGGCATTTCATCCGCTGGCCTGTGGCCTGCCATTCCGTTCCCGGTCCTGTTTGGGAATTTGGACAGTCTGCTGTGCTCCACCCATGACGATATGGCGATCGTGGATTTCCAGGCAATAGCCATGGATCAAAATTGTGCCCTTGGCCTCGGGCTGCGTGTAGTACTTGCTTGGATCCAGACGAGAGAATTGAGATTCGCGGTTCACTTCTTGATTCTACCCTGCACAAGGGATGGCTTCTATCAGTTCTCTTGTAAATCACCAATTCCGTTCCCGGTGTGGGAATTCGGGCAGTCTGCTGTGCTCCACCCATGACGATATGGCAATCGTGGATTTCCACTCAATGGCTATGGATGAAAATTGTGTCCTCGGCCTTGGGCTGCGTGTAGCACTTGCTTGGGTCTAGACGAGAGAATTGGGATTCGCGGTTCACTTCTTGATTCTCTCCTGTACTAGGGATGACTTCTCTCAGTTCTCTTGAAATCGCCAACGGTATATAGGAACCAAACTGTCTCACGGCGTTCTAATTGTCATGTTGGCCACTAGCAAAGGCGATATAACTTGAGGCTCGCCAGAGTTAAATCTAGTTATAGGCGGTTTTCGCTCCTGTCTCCTTTGCTCTCGTCGACCCAATGCTTAAGTAATATCCATGCACCGATTTTTTCTATCTTTATTGCCTCAACCACTGCCAACTGGATTGTTTTTTCTATTTTTTTTTCCCTTTTTTCATTTTACTAACTGGATTCCCACCTTCTGGTTATGACAATTACCACTGCAGTATCTCTCCCGTTCATGCGATCAGCAACCCACCAGTCGCACGAGCCTGTAATTTTCCCCGGTGGAACAACTGGTCTACTAATATGCATTGCACCACGGGATGCCGACCCACCTGTGCTTTCTTCTTTGCGTCATTCTTGGTTGATGTAGCCAGCCTCCTTGAACATTCTAATACTACTTGAACATTCTAGTACTATGTTCTACTCTGCAGAAAGCTACTGCCTTCACCCGAATAGAACGCCTGGTTATTATAGCTGCATTTGGGCCAAGGTCGAGATACGGAGATAATGACCGGGCGTTCTATTCGGGTGAAGACGGTAGAGTACGTGAGCCTCATAATGCGTATAATGCATTGGATCTTTCTGCTCTTCCTCTGACTCTGATGCAACTGTAACATCTGTAAATCGTAACATAGGGTGCTGATTCGATATTCTATTCTGTTTTTATTAATTTGTTAAGACGATTCTTTGCTTTTCCTCTTCCTCCTGCTCTCCCTCCTCCTCGTCCTCCAGCCTCCTCATTGGCACGAACCTGTACTTTTTAGCAGGAGGGAATGCAATGGGATCTGGTCTTGTTTTCTTCGTTGTCTCGTATTCTTTGCTCTTCCTCTTCTTTCTCTTCCGCCGACGTGAGCTCCTTTGCTTTGCCCCTCTTTCTCTTCCTCTTGACTTTTGGCAAGGGGGAATGCAATGGGATGTGGTCTTGTTTTCTTTGTTGTCGCATATTCTTTGTTCTTCCTCTTCTTTCTCTTCGGATCTGATTTGAGCTCCGATTCCAAGGCCGTGGCTCCGATCTTCACTTCAATTCTCTGCTTTGCTTTTCACAGTTGCATCCTCTCATGTTCTTTTTGCTCTGCCTCCTCTTTCTGTTCCTCCAACTTCTCGTCTCGAAGTCTGAGTCCATGGCCCGAACTTTCACTTCCTTCCCATACTGCTCTGTTGATGATGTTACTTTTTGTCAAACATCTTGTAAGGATATTTTGAATTTTCAATTTTGTTTTCACTTTTATAATTTTATTCTTATTTTATTTTTTAGAACAAGGTTGCTCTGACGCGTGCCATCCCACCTGCCACCCCTTTGTCGATTGATGTTGGTCAATCCAACTGACAGATGAGAGTGAAAATGGTTCAGATATTTTAGTAGATTGGAGCGCAGGAGGGTGTTAGAACCGAAGGGTTCTCTTGGCGTTTGAATCACTTGATCTGGTGGTTCTGGAGGTCTCCGGTCGAATTGAAACTTAGAGTGTGACAGTCATTTGAGTCGAGGGTGGCAGAATCAGGGCCTACTCACACTAGCACATTTAAGGCCAGAGCTGGATGCATCTGACTGAAATTTTCCATCCATCAATAAGTCGAAAAAGTCCCCGTGCGAGGGTACCCGCAGAGGGTTCTGCTGGGCTTCGGATCACGCCATCTGGTGGTTTTGCAGGTGTTCAGTTGAACTGAAATGACTGTGAAAGACTCTTAAGGGTTCTTCCGACCTTCAGCACTGTGGTAATTGACTTGAATGATTTGAATTTTGAATCGATGGTCGTCAGACCAGGTGGGAGCAGGTGGGACATGGGATTGACCAGCTTTGGTCCATTTAGTCCATCTTCAGCAAAAGTAGTGCCAGAGTATTGGTTTTCTTTTCAGACTCTTTCTTTCTTTAACGAGTTTTTTTTTTCAACTTTTTTGGCATTGATGTGGGTAAGAATCTTGGTGCAAGTCTTTTCTCGACCCATTGGTAGGCACGCCGTTACAGCCTGCTGATGTGTCAGTCACATTTTCACACCCCTCACTCTTTACCCAGTTTGGGATTGCGGGGATAGAGGTCAGGTTGGGATTGCGGGGATCGAGGTCAGGTTCGGACTTCGGGATGGAGATCAGGCTGGGATTTGGGGATCGAGATCAGGTTGGGATTTGGGGATGAAGATGAGGTTGGGATTTGGGGATCGAGATTCGGTTGGGATTTAGCGATCGAGATCAGGTTGGGGTTCGGGGACCGAGACGAGGTTGGGATTTGGGGATCGGGATGGGATTTGCGGATTGAGATCAGGTCGGGGTTTGGGGATCAAGATCAGCATATATGGATCACGACCGGGATGAGGATGGGGATCAAATCCAGGTTCACAATTCGGACCAGGTTCAAATTGAGCGCAGCTGAGCTGCACGCGCCATCGATCGCCAAGATCAGCATATGGATCACGACCGGGATGAGGATTGGGATCAAATCCAGGTTCACAATTCCTACCAGGTTTCAATTGAGCTCAGCCAAGCTGTGCGCGCCATCGATCGACGACCAAAGTTCAAGGGCACATGCAGCCGCAGATGTCTGTCCCGGATCACACGCAAAGTGGACCAGGTTCGAACTGAGATGGGCGAAGCTTCTATCGAAAACACAGAGAGAAAGTTCGGAGGCACGTTCATCCAAAGGCGCAGGTGCCTCTGTCTTGCTTTCTCATGTTGAGAGCAACCAGGGCAGCCTTTATGTGGGATGAGGCTGTCAATTTGGAACAGTTGTGTGCTGGTTCCAAATCCCCCTCCCTGCCATTGTACCAGATTGGAACCTATGTTTTTCTTAGGGGGCATGATACTGGTGCGGAACCTATCTTCTGGGCCCATGGTACCAGATTGGAACCAATGTTTTTTTTAGGGGGCATGATACCGGTGCGGAACCTATCTTCTGGGCCCATGGTACCGGATTGGAACTTATCTTTTGGCTGCAGTAGATTGGTCATAGAGGACTGAAGTGGGACAGCAAATCAGCCCCACTGTTCCACGTCTCCTCAAGCTGTCAATTAGGGACAGTTTCTGCACCGCTCCCAAATCCTCGGGCCCGCCATGGTACCGAATTGGAACCTATCTTCTGGGGTCATTGTGCCGGATCAGGACCTGTCTTATGGGCCCATGGTACCAGATTGGAACCTATCTGTTGGCTGCACTAGATTGGTCATAGAGGACCAAAGTGGGACAGCAAATCATCCCAGCCCAGCTGTTCCATGTCTCGTCAAGATGCTCCAGGTTCTCAAGCACGCCCACTGTCTGAGTGAGTGGGTATGTTTTTCTATGGATTTAATCGCATTTCGTTGCAGCCAGCCAGATATATTTCCGTAATGTGGCAAGCGTCTCATTTTCTTCCTTCTTTAGAAGTTTAGAGTCTTTAGACTCCTTTTCTCATTCTTTACTTCCTCCCCTCTGTCCGCACAGCTCATCAAAACTGTTTTTCGTGTGATCGAGGTGATCGTAGTAACCGGTCATCGATCGTTGCATATGGTATTTGTAAGTGTGACAGTTTGTCGATTTCTTCCGTCCCTCAGTTGGTTTTGTTGGGTGAGGGTGGAGAGGGGCAACCCCCCTCGCAGCAGTACCGAGCTCCAGAGGGTTTGGCATGTTCTCTTGGATTGGGCATCGTCGCGTAGGGACGCATGTCCTTGTCTCGACCGAAAGCCCGAGTACAAAACTGCTTTGATTCACTTGGTGTCTATTCTCTTTCTCTTCCCAAGTTTTATTTCCCCTTTTGTTTGTGCCTTTTGCTTTTCAAGGATAATGATAGAGTCTGAGCTTTTAAGTATGTCGAACGGTTTGGCGTCATCACATTCCGGTTTTGTTATGTCAGGTAAGATGTCAATAGTGCACTGTTTGTGCACCTCACTTATTTTTCTTCTTTTTTTTTTTCCCCTTTCTTTCTTGCGCAAGGACCATGCTCTTGTGCATCTCTAATAGACGTATTAAACTGTTAATTGCATGCACGGTGTGAGCGCTAAACTCTCTTGTAGTTTTTTGTGACTATTGGATTGTGCTAAGATAGGAGGATCGATATTGTCACTCCGGATGCATACATGCACCGAGTTGGATCGCTCACGGGTGAAGACCGGAGCAGTGTTTTCTAGCGTTGGGTACTCTAAACTGATGAGCTCAACAGGAGTGTGGTAGTGTTAATGTACGGTACGGTATATAATTTGGAAACATGATAATGTGCTATATATCCCTCCTGTGCTATATATCGATTTGATGAACTCTGGCCATTCAAGGAGGGAGATCAGATTGTCCATCTTTGGGTGCTCTTACTGATGAAGTTAATGGAACTGGTACATACATACTGTATGATAATGTGCTTTTGAAATGAGCAACAGGGCAAATAGCTTTATGGCATGCGGCATGGCCTGTCAAGAGTGTACATTTTGTCCTAACCTCAGCCCACCTCTGCACGTCCTTGCTTGCATGACTCTGCAATGTTGATTCTCGTAGTCAAATGTAGCATCTCTCTCTCTCTCTCCCTCCCTCTCTCTCTCTCTCTCTCTCTCTCTCTCTCTCTCTCTCTCTCTCTCTCTCTCTCTCTCTCTCTCTCTCTGCACCCTCTCTCTCTCTCTCTCTCTCTCTCTCTCTCTCTCTCTCTCTCTCTCTCTCTCTCTCTCTCTCTCTCTCTCGATGCACTATCGTAACGGGTGGTAATAATGATGATGATATGATGATGACAATGGTGGCAGCTATGGCAGTGATGCATTCGTCATCTTGTGCGCATGCGCGTTGGGGACAAGCACATGGGTGTGGTCGTCCACTTCTTACATACCTGAGACTCCAAAGATTGTCAAGTGCAGCGGCAACGAACAGAGTATGCGCTCTGAGGTCTGAACTGAACATCGATCACCGGAATGGCTGTCATGCCACTTCATCCAGGAGGTCTTTACTGCGGAGCCACAATTGGAACCATGGTATCTGTTGGGCTAGTCTACTCTCACAGAATAGTGCCACTCTTCCTTGTAAGAACTTTTGCAACCTTGCTGTTGAGTGGAGTTCCAACGACGGATGTGACACCGTCGAGGGCAAGTGGATCAACAGCTATCCCAATTACAGACTAGCTGCTAGGCATGGTTGTGTATCACCCTCATGGCGGCGAAAGGTAGCGCAGACGTGTATGCCTGCATACTCTGGGATGGAGGCACAACCACATCTAGGGACAAATGTGAGATGGGTGAGATACATTCCTCCGTCTTCCAGGGTAAACGCACGAGGGATGTGCAGGCTACCAGCTCAAGGTCTCATTAGGTTAACCCATCAAGTGGTCAGATCAATCCCTAGAGGGTTCCTTGAATTACTACCCCTTCGAGAGGGCTGGTCAGCCCCGAAAGGGGTGATCGGTTGCAGTGCGCTCTTTAGAAGACGACAGTCGTTTGGAGAGTGGGGAAGTTGCACTCCTGGGTGCATGCCAGGAGAGCAGATTCCTACGGGACTCTGGAGATCGAAGGCACGTTACGCAGGCATTGTGCCGATCGATTTAGAAGTACGGGGTAGTAATTCAAGGGATTCTGGCCGTGGCCGAGGAGCAGGCAACCAGAGACGAGAGCTGCATGCCTGCCGTGCATCTAGAAGAAGATCAGGGGGTACTTTCGGTGACGACAATGAAGAAGAGGAGGCCCCAAAGCTGAGCAAAAATGCAATGAAGAGAGTAGCTTTGCAAGGTGTCGAGTGGGCAGAGACCTTGGCAAAGATGAGTGTGAAGCAGATTGAATCAGTCGTTGAAGATGCGGACCTTCCCGAGGAAGTGCCCGAGGCCATTGCCCTTGTGAAGACTCTTGGCATCAAGACGAAGAATGGCCGACGTAGGCAATTCAACTACATCGGTAGTCTTCTGCGTGATGCTGATCCACAGCTGATGGAAGCCGCAATCGCTGCCGCGAGGGAGGGGAGGTCCTTGACTGCAGCAAGAAGTGCACGCCAACAAGTGGAAAACAACGCAGAGTCAGAGGGCGTGGAAGTCGCGCGTGCAAATCCTTAGGCTGTGCTCATACAGTGCCATACATGAATATCGTTTCGGAAACGTTGCGACGGCATAACTGTGATTGTGCCCATATCCATCACACTTTCAGTATGCTCTCAGATGCCTCTCTGCAAGTGTTGTATTCCAGTGCTAGATTAGTCAGAAGCAGACCTTGCGTAACTTAAACGAAACTCTTTCTCTGTTCTTTTAGGGTACCTTAGGTGGAAGTGGAGAGAAAAGAGTATTGAGGGAACAAGAAGCATGCACAGTGTACATGGCCACGTACCGTGGGTCCTGCGTATGGGTGAAATGTATCATCCCCTCATGGGTGGTGAGTGTAGTCAATGCAACGCCTTCTCCTTTTATAAATCGGGAAGAAGCCCTTTTTATTAACCCTGGCCTCTTTTTAGCTGCAGCGTTGGATTGACTAACTGTACTTTCTTTTGTATAGCTTCAGGTGTAACGCGCGGTTGGAGAGGGATCTCCGTCGAGTTTGTGAGGCTCGTATGCATTCCACCAGTTGAGCTGGCTAGTTTCCTGGCATTCCTGTCCGAAGAGAACCAAGGCATGGTCGCGCTTGGCGGTGAGTAGCACACCTCCTGACAATGGGGCTCAGCTTCCCATATGTGAACACTAGCATTTCCAGGACCCCTAGAATTCACAGGGGTTGGCCAGCTATACCGTACTGCCTCACGCTCTGTTTCTTATGCTTCGCCTTTCGCTTGGTGATCTGATGACCAGATGGTTCTT